TGCTCTTCCTGAGACCATCTTATGCGAGTTCTCCCTAAACACCACACTTTGTTTCCTACTTTGTTACAGAGCCCCTGATTATGATCTTGTACATTCGAACAAACTAATCTCACTACTAACATGGGCAACCTCTTGCCCACACCCTCTTATCTTTCTTGGCGACCTCAATCTACCTCTTATTAATTGGACCTTAAATGAATGTACAACAGAACTAATACATACAACCATATACAATGCCGTTACAAATCTGGGATTGGACCAACTAGTTAAAAACAACAATAGACTCAAAAACTGCTTAGGGTCTCATCCTTTGCAATAGTTTAAACTCAATCTACGGTCTACAAATATATGAACCCTTTTCCAAGAGTGACGAACATGATTGACTTTTGTCTCAATTTACGTCCTTAAAAAGTTGATCATAATTCAGAATCCCAAAGTATAACTTTAGAAAAGCCAACTATGATCTCTCATAACCGATGACCTTTCATCCCTTGTTTGGCAAAGTCTGTTCACTGGCTGCAACACTGCCGAAGACTATTTTTTTTGCACAAAGTCAAAAGAATAATCAAACTATATGTACCACTAAAAACCACCAAAACTAGGGAAAACAAATTACCAATAACAATAAGGAAGCTTCAGTAAAAAAAAAAAAAAAACCTCATTGGCGCAAAAACAAAACTGGATATGTAACTAACTTCAAAAGTCACCACAAAACCTTATGCCAATAGATAAAGGCAGAATGCATTAGTTATGAAACCTACTACGCACAAAATCCACCCATGCCTTCTATATTTTTTTAAACAATAAACTTAAAAGATCCATCCCATCACTAAAAGGGCCAAACGGGAAGGACTGTAATGATGAAACTGTTAAGGCCAACCTCTTAAACACATTCTTCAGTTCAGTCTTTGTAAACAACAATGGCTCATGCCCCACATTTCCCAATTGTACCACAACCAATTAATGTCGATTTTACAGAAGATGCTGTTGAAAAGGCACTACATAACCCTAAGCCATCTTTATCTATTGGCCCTGATGGATTATGTGCCTACTTTTTAAAAAAGCTCTCAACCACCATAGCAGCTCCTTGCCTAACTTATGGTCACTAGCGAAGGTCACCCCTAGTTTCAAAACGGGTGACCCCAGCCTAGTTGAAAATTATAGACCAATCTCATTATGTTGCATCACCTGCAAAGTCATGGAATCAATCATAAACCAATCCATTACCCTCTACTTACCCTCTACTTAGGGACAAACAACCTACTCTCTAACAAGCAGTTTGGCTTCAGAAAAAAAACTGTCCTGCAATCTGCAACTTTTACACTGCAAAAACATATCGACTTCACAACTCGACCAGGATAAAGCAATAGACACAATTTATATAGACTTCTGTAAAGCCTTTGATTCAGTGGTACACGACAAACTACTTCTAAAACAAAAATCTTCTGGCATCTCTAGTTCCCCGCATAAGTGGATACCTATCAAACAGGCAACTAGTCAAAATAGGAAATGCCTTACCAAACCATGCACCTGTTAACAGTGGAGCCCCCAAGGTAGTGTTCTAAAACCCACACTCTTTATACTTTACATAAATGACCTTTGCAATCATATCATAAGCAACTGCGTTCCCTTTGCTGATGATGTAAAACTATTCAACACCACCAACAATGCTGCTACCCTACAAAAAGACCTTGTCAGAATGGTCAAACAATTATCAACTCCAAATCCCAACCAACAAATGCTCTGTTCTTGCACATTGGCAAAAAAAAATATCAAAACACAAAATACAATCTGGGCCGATATGACTTCTTAGTCAACCCCCACCCTGTCAATGACCTCGGAGTAATCATCACAAATGATCTAAGTGCCAATGCTCATTGTAACAGCATTGCTAAAAAGGCATTAAGAGTTCTTAATCTAATATTGCATAGCTTCTTCTCCGGTAACATTGAACTGCAAACTAGAGCATACAAAACATTTGCTAGACCAATTCTTGAATACAGATCATCTGTCTGGAACCCGCACTGCATATCAGACATTAATACAACGAATCCAGAGATATTTTGCGAGAAGAGTCCTCTGCTCCTCTGCTCGCAATCTTATGACACCAGGCTTGAAATTTTGGGCTTAGACAACTAAGAACTTTGCTATCTTCATGCCAATTTCATTTGACATAAAATTATCTGCTACAATGTCCTACCTGTAAATGAATACTTCAGCTTCAACCACACACGCTCACAATAGATACAAACTGATGGTAAACCGCTCCAAACTCGACTGCAGAAAATACAACTTCTGCAACAGAGTGGTCAATGCCTGGAATGCGTTACCTGACTCTGTGGTTTCTTCCCCAACCCCAACCCCCAAATTTAACCTTAGACTGTCTACTGTCGACCTCACCCCATTCCTAAGAGGTCTTTAAGGGGCGTGCATAATCACACCAGCGTGCCTACCATCCCTGTCCTAATATTTCCTTGTATTTGTATCCATTTCATGTATTCATAATCATGTTTATACATTATCTATTATCCAATTCATGCTTGATGAAATAAATAAATAAAAAAGAAGCTACCAGTCCAGGAGGGCTAAGTGGTGCATCATTTCTGTCCGTGAGAAAACTACCCCATTGAAGTATAAAGATGGTCCCTCTCCAGAGCCCCATAAATACTGCAGGGAGGTGGGCGACACTACACAGGAAAGGGTTTGCACAAATAAAGATAGGACCCACCAAATTGGCCAACAAGGAAGGGTTTTTGATCATCTGTGCCCTCACGGGCTGTTCTTCTGTCCTAGGACAAGGCCAAAAGTGTAAAACCTCGAATCCGGGAAGAAAACAACCCGCCCAAAATCAAGGAGGAGCCGGGAAGTGAAGCCTCTTCTTCACAGCCTCCAGACAACCAGTCAGTAGCAGGACAGAAGAAGGTAAGCATCAGCACTGGGGGAACTGGGATTTCCTGGTGGAGAAAATGGCGGACTAACATTTAAGGCCTGCCATTTCCTCTCTATTTTGGGAGCGCCACCTTAGCCAGGGGCTGCCGCTCAGAAAAATCCCAGACTGATGGAGCCATTTTGCTGAGTCGTGCTGGGATCCTTCCTCTAGTCCAGTGTTTCTCAACCTTGGTGACTTGAAGTCCTGTGGACTTCAATTCCCAGAATCCCCCAGCCAGCATAGCTGGCTGGGGAATTCTGGGAGTTGAAGTCCACAGGACTTCAAGTCACCAAGGTTGAGAAACACTGCTCTAGTCTCTCTCTCTGAGAAAAGGATCTTGCTGCTGCCAAGAATTGTACTGATTACTAGTAGGGTATTTTGTTTTGTTTTTAATTATTTTTAAATAGCACCACATGCACAGGTAGTCCTCGGCTTACACTTAGTTCACTTAGCGACCGTTTGAAGTTATAACAGCACTGAAAAAAGGAACTTATGACCGTTTAGTGCACTCTATGACCATGACAGCATCTCTATGGTCAGAGGTTTTATATTTCGCTGCTTGACAACTGGCTCCTGTTTATGACAGTCACAGTGTCCCGGGGTTACGTGATTCCTCCCTTTTGCGACCTTCCAAGAAGCCAAGTCAATGGGGAAGCCGGATTCACTTACCAAACAGTGCGGCAAGAAAAGTCGCCAAATGGGGCAAAACCCGTTTAAGAAATTCCTCCTATAAATTTGGGGCTCAATTGGGGTTGTTAATTGAGGAGTATCTGTACTCCACTCCTCGGCTTATAACCGTTCATTTAGCAACCATTTGAGGTTATAACAGCAACAGAAAAAAAGTGACTTACTTCCTTGCCCTTATGGTCAGTGCAGCATCCCCAAGGTCACATGGTCAAGATTTTGGTGCTTAGCAACCAGCATATATTTATGACTGTCACAGCATCCCAGGGATGTATGAGAGCCATCTGCCTCTCCACCCGGCTTCCAACGAGCCCAGTCAGTGAAGGAAGTGAATCACTTAACAGCTGCAGTGATTTTGCTTACAAGCCTGGTCCAAAAAAACCGGCCATTAAATCAGGTGTGAATCATTTAACAGCTGCCTTGCTTTGCATCAGAAATGTCTGGTCCCCATTATAGTTGTAAGTCGAGGGCTGCCTGTATAGATCCCCCCGCCCCTCATTAAGAGTAAGGTCCTAGACTGGACTACTGCAATGTGCTTTACATGGGGCAGCCCTTGAAGAGCATTCGGCGACTCCAGCTTGTCCAGAATGCAGC